CTTTCGAACTGCTGGGAGGGCAGGAGCTAGGACAAGGGACAGGAGCTCACCCCGTCCCGTGGAGCCAGGCCTGAACCGCTGGAGTGCCAACCATTTCTGACCGGCAAACTCCAACGTCATTAAGCCCTTGTGCCACTGCGTCCCTTATACAAATATACAAAACTATTTAATCCTAATAAAGAAAGTAAATCTTTCCATGAAGCACCTATAGTAGCCAAAAGGAAAAAAATACACTGTAACTAAAGAAAGCCTCTCTTTAACCCTATAGAAGTAAAAAAAAAGGTGATTTTGGAAATGAGAAGGTTCACGCAAGTGTTTGGGTTTTTTGGGGGGGGGGCTTCGCAGCTTGGAACTTGATGGTAACCCCGCCTCCCAGTTGATCACTCACCATTTGATCCCGAAAGTCTCCGTTTCAAGGTCTTCTGCCTGTGAAAGGCTGTCCAGAGGTCATATGGGATGATTTCTAGGATTCTGCTTGGATCCGGAGAATTCTTCAGGCTTCAGGAAGCCTGCCTGAGTCTAAAAAAGTCTGTGAAGACGATCCTCCACTTGAAAAGGAGAGCCTAGCACACGGCCATTACTCACCGGAAGTCAGTGACAGCAGTTCCTGCAGTCCCAGTTGCCATCATTAAGCAAGGACCGCACAGGTTGTTAAGCAAGGACCTCGTGTGACCATGACTTCCAACTTCTTGCTGGCTTCCCTGTTGACTTTGCTTGTGGGAGGCCAGCAGAGAAAGTCACAAATTGCAATCACATGACCGCAGGACACTGTGCTGGCCATAAGTACGAGGTCCGGTTGTTAAGTATCACTCGTTCAGCGCCATCGTAAGTTCAAACAATCATTGAACAAGTCGTTAAATACAGTGGTTGTTAAATGAAGACCATCTGTATTTGGGATGGTTAAGTTGGGGAATCCAAGAGTAAAATATTTGTTGGGCCTGTGTGCTCTTAGAAAATGAGTAGTAAGAAATGCTTGAAACTTCGTGATTATAACATCTTTCTGCTGGTGTTTAAAATACTTATATGTGTTTTCCACATGAGTCTGAATGAAAGTTTTTCCTGCTTTAAGAGTTGCACTAATTTTAATGAGCAGATTCTTTGAAACAACAGGATCTTTTTTCAAGCTTGTACTGAAGCCTGAAAACAAGACAGGCTACTTTAATGAATAGTAAAATGTTGCTGTGCTAATACAAGGCCCTAATCCCTTGTTAGTACTCATTTTTAAAGTGTGTACAATCCTAATATTTGCTATGGTTAGTTTGTAACTTTTTCAGGAATGTTAGAAGTACCCATGTTGGTCAACATTATTGTGAGACAGTGTTAAAATGAATACCATTAGCAACTTTCTACATTTTTCATACATGAAATATATATTTTTAATTTTATCCTAGGGAGCATATGTTGCAAATACTTCTTAGCATAACAGAAGCTGTCATGAGCAACTCCAAAGATGATCAAATAAAGGATGCATTTGGTCAATATCTAGCTGGATTATTATTCCGGGTATGTCTTATTTTTTTGTAGAGCAATTTAAACATTATTTTGAAGTGCTTTAATTAATTAATTAATTACATTTATATGCTGCCTGACTCCCAGCGACTCTGGGCATTTTATTTTTATTTTTAAAAGATGAAAAAAATAGCTCAGCGTTGTAGAGTTACAATATTTTATAGCAAGATAAAAATCATGTATTTGTCAGAAATTTAGAAGCATATAAATGACAAGAACATAAAGTCTTGGTAATATATAAGGTTCATTATTTAATAATGAAATTGGTAGTTTTAATGCTGCAGTATAACCAATGTTTATTCCTACAGTTTCAGCATGGAGGAAAATGGAGGGTGAACAAATGAGAGAGACGTTGATTAACAATGGACGGAATTCTATTTTTTCCTATTTTAACCCTTCATGCTCTGAGCCTGAAATACAAAGCTAGATGGAATTTGTTTGAAATAATCATTTTACTCCCCCACTAAATAAATTAGGGATGGGTTCGTAGGTATTGTTCCCAATATATATAGTTAGAGGTGCAGTTCAGGAAGTGGCCCAACTCTGCACTAGGCCTTTCTGACATCAGAGTAAGCTGTTTCACTGTTGGAACATTACATAACAGAATGCTTTACAAAGTGATATATTTATTCAAGTTGGAGGTAAGCAAGTTAGAGAGTTAAATTGAAACAAGACTTTCAGCTGTTTAATTTGGGTAGAATATTTCCTGGATTTGCAAACTCCATCTAATAGATTCAGAAATAGAATCAAATGGTTTTAAATATGAAAAATACTTTTAATGTTGTTTGCTAGGGGAAAAATAATAAAAAATATTGCCTACTTAAAATGATGTTTAAGTAGTAAGCAACAATTTCAGAATAAGGATAATGTACTGTATTGTATTCTGGATGTTTTTCTATACCTGGCAAGACTGAGTGGCTGTGGGTTTTGGGGCCTTCTGGTGCCATAGCTATGCCATCTTTGGTACTGAATGGGGTTGCACTGCCCCAGACAGACCCTGTGCACAATCTGGGGGTCCTCCTGGACTCACGACTCCTTGAAGACCAGGTGGCAGTTGTGGCTAGGAGGGCCTTTGCACAGCTTCATGTTGTATGCCAGTTGCACCCATTCCTAGATCAGAGGGACCTAATCACTATCACTCATGCCCTAGTCACCTCCTGTTTGGATTTCTGTAATGCGCTTTACATGGGGCTGCCTTGAAGAGTATCTGGAAGCTTCAGCTGGTGCAAAATGCAGCAGCACGGGCAGTTATGTGTGCCCCTAGGGCAGTACATGTTACATTTCTGCTCCGCGAGCTGCACTGGTTGCCAGTTTACTTCCAGGTCCAATTCAAGGTGCTGGTTTTGACCTTTAAAGCCCTTCATGGCATGGGGCTGGATTACCTGAGGGACCACCTCTCCCTGATTACATCTGCCCGTCCCATCAGATCTGGCAGAGAAGGCATGCTGTGGATCCCATCTGCTAGAGAATTACATTTGGCAGGTCCCAGGAGGTGGGCCATCTATGCCGTGGCTCCCACCTTTGGAATCTTCTCCCCCCTGAAGTGAGATTAGTTCCATCCCCCTTAACATTCTGCAAGTCCCTCAAGACCTGGTTATGTGATTAGGCCTGGAGCCCCCCAGGGGACCGGGGACATTTTACAATGGTTCCCTTATTTAATCCCCTCCTATTTTGTGTGTGTTTACAGTTTTTTATGTGTAATTGTTTTTATGTATTTATTTTTTTAATTGTTGTATACCGCCCAGCGTCACCTTGTATGAGATGGGCAGCTATATAAATATGATTAATAAATTAATAATAAATAAATACTTGAATTGCCCATATGATATAATTCTACATATGAGAAAAAAATTGCACTTGAAACATTTTTAATCTAAAAAATAGATAAGAAAATAATAGGAAAATGTTACTTCTTTGCATGGAACACTTTTGTGGTTTTCCTGGATACAATGTATTATGCAAATAGATATATAGTATTCCATGATGTGGAATGATGCATCTACCTTGAATAATCTGGTATAAATGAATCTATCCTTTCTTTAGAAATATGCATGCATCTTTTTTCTAGAAATCAGTTCATTTGAAGTTCATTCATTTGAAGATGAGAATCCAATCTATTCTCTGTTCTTCCTTGTCTCTTAACCACAGACTCTCATTGTGGCTTGGATCCGAGCAAACTTGAGTGTTTATATTTCTCGTGAGCTCTGGGACGAATTGCTCCGTGTGCTGTCATCCCTTACAGATTGGGAAGAGCTAATAACGGAATGGGCTAATATAATGGATTCTTTAACATCTGTTTTAGCAAGAACAGTGTATGGTGTTGAAATGACCAACTTGCCACTAGATAAGCTAAGTGAGCAAAAAGAGAAAATACAAAAAGGAAGAGGTAAATGATAAGCAAATAAATGTATTGAAATTATCTGTATAAAATGAGAAAATAGTAAATGCTATTTACTTGCTAAAAATAAAGATTGCACTCTGATGCAATTTTATAGCTCCTTCTAAATATATAAAGGGCTGCTGTTTGAAATGTTATGCAAGGGAATCGTGAGTTTACATGAGGTCTCTATATAGTGAATTCCCCTAAAAAGTTCCTGTTCACCTATTTTACCTACTAGGTGGAATTTGACATTCTCCAACATAAAGAAAATAAAGTAGTTTATTTTCTTATGATGAAATTCAAAAGCAGATAATACTTTGTTTTTATTTCAACTCAAATCCCAGTGAAAATCTAAGAAATGTTTATTATTTATTTATTTGCATAATTCTGATATAATAGACTGTTTTCAAAAAAACCTATCCTAAAGTCCTGACAGTGTCATTTGAAATATTCTAATCTGCTGTAC